AAAAAAAAAAAAAAAAAAAAAAAAAGAGCCACACCCACCCCTGACTGAGCCTGGAACCTGGGCTGAGAATGTCAAGGTGCAGGCTCCATGGTCAAGCTCAGGACCTGGTCTTACCTGGGGCTGCTCTGCACACAAGCCCTTGCTCCTCCTAGGTGACCACATCATAGGTGACTTTGGGCCAAGGGACTGCAGGCTCTGTGGCATATAGCCTCACAGACCAGGGCAGGGAGTCCCCTACTACATTAAAGCACCTTGATGGAACCACTAGTGCAACAACTCTAGCTGGCAACGGCTGTTCCCATGGCCCCAGCTCCTTCCCTCTCAATTCCTCCTTACCACCGCTGGGTGGTAACTGGCTTCCAGGCTGCTGTATGCCCCCATCACACAGCTGAGACAGGCTGGAGGGGAAGAGTGACTCCATGGCTGACATCCCAGGATGAGACACCGTGTGTCATACTCTCAGATCTTCAACTGGGTTTCCTTCATTGTCTCTTTGCTTTTTCTTTTTTTTTCCCCTGTGGATCCGTTTCTACTTAATAAGTTTCCTTTTGGAAATTCAACATATCCCAGTTATGCTAAGGAGAACCTGGTGGCAGGGAGCAGGGTCAGGGGGAAGCAATTATTCTTACTTGGTTCAAAATGGAAGGATTTAAAGTTGAATTGGAAACAGGCACTTGGTGGAGGCTTTGAAGGTCGATGTGACTGTCCAGCAAGTAGAAGGGAAATTCAAGATTCATAGATTTGGCCATGTCCTGTCTTCACTTATTCTTCCTGCTCTTAGATAATTTATTTAATGCTGTAATTGGTTTTTCTGGTTTTTTTTGTTTTGTTTTTTTGAGATGGAGTCTTGCTCTGTCACCCAGGCTGGAGTGCAGTGGTGCAATCTCGGCTCACTGCAACCTCCACCTTCTGGGTTCAAGCAATTCTCCTGCCTCAGCTTCCTGAGTAGCTGGGACTACAGTGCACACCACCACACTCAGCTAATTTTTGTATTTTTAGTAGAAATGGGGTTTCACCATGTTGGTCAGGCTGGTCTTGAACTCCTGACCTCGTGATCCACCCACTTTAGCCTCCCAAAAAGCTGAGATTACATGCGTGAACCACTGAGCCCGGCCTT